CCCGTCCCTGTCAGACTCTGCTGTCACTGAGCACATGGAAACAAGGAGCAAATTTGAAAACACTAACTTTGAAATAAACATATAGGCAAATTACTACAGGTACACAGACTTAGTTAATCTAGGATTGATGCATTTAATCTTTTTTGAAACTGCAAGTTTTAGCGCAGGTACTCCATAGCCACACCTTTAAACAGCACTTTAGTACCTACTATGCATGATATTAGTCCAAGGCCAAAATGCTCATGATTTACTATATATTTAATTGGGCTGGGCCCCAAAAGAGTCAGTGTTTCAAGCCATGGTGACACCACAGCTCAGCACTGTTCAGTATGTGTGTGTACTCCAGTTACCCACCACAGAGGATCCATTTGCTAATTAGCTCCCCACTCATGGCTGGAACTAGATGTTCTTGTCGTGAGTCCTGGGATCCATCAAAATTTATATGGAGATAAGGCACAGGGCAACCTGAGCCAGCTCCACTGTATGGAGGGCAGGGCTACACTAAACATATGTGACTGTCCAAGGAGGGAGGAGGAGGGGGACAGAAGGAATCTAGGTGATCTGTTTGGGGCCTAATTTTGTGATGTCTGCCAGAGACTTAAGGCTGGTAAAGAAACAGGAATTATTGGAAACGGGAAAGAAAGACACAGCTCAGCTGTGGGAGTTGAAATGTATTCAATTTATCACCATGACTTGAAAAAGAGTTGGCACTGTGGGGGACTGAGCACAATGGGCACTACCATGTATCTTATTCAGATGGGCTGCATTAACCTAACTTTCTGGTAGGTTCCTATAGGTATGTTTGCCCAATGTGTTTTATAGTTGTGCTCAGTGCTGGCTGCATTTAGTCAGCTTTATAATTGGTTTCCCTGACTGAGCACATGCTGCTTTGGCAGCAGTTTAATGATAGAAAACATAGTTAATGAGGTTTCCTTGGATGCAAATGTAAGACAAGGAGCTTTCCTTCACCCTGGCTGATTGGGGGAAGAATCCTTGCCTGATATGCAAGTAAATATGGTAATTTTCCAAGGATAGAATCTAATTATTAAAGGGTCATCTTTAATTTACCACCCCCGCCGCTACTGCTGCAGGGGGGCAGGCAGTGGGGGAACAGGTGATGTGGGGCTGTCAAGAAGCTTGCGCTCTGTTTGTGCCCCTTACCACCTCTGCCCTGCCCATTCCTCAACAACTTCAAGCCTCCTTCACCTCTGCTCCCCCTCCTGCCTCTCCCCCCAGCCTCTGCTCCTTGCTCCCCACTTTCCTCTTCATCCCCATCCTCCTCCCCCCAGGCTTGACTTCCCCCTCCCCTCACTTACCTTCCCTCCACACTGGCGGGCTCTATCCCTATTCTAGCCTGGGGCACAGGCTCAGTGCCCCAAGCTGCAGTGTAGACAGAGCCTGCAGCACAGAACACAGACAAGTGGGCAGGAGAGGGACAGGAAGGGGAGCAGAGACTACATAGGGGGGTTGGTGGGGCAGAGGCTGTAGCTGGGGAGATGGTGGAGTGCAGAGGCAGTGGGGTGTTGGGAGAAGGGGCAGGCAGCAGCAGCAGCTATGCCCCTGACCCTGGATAGAGCTGAAGACCTTGCCACAGCAGCTGCCTGTGTCACCACTGCCTTCATATGTGATTCTAAGATGAGGGATCTCCACACCCCCCACCCCATCAAATGGGTACCCCCAAGATTAAAATTGAATAAATGCAGTAGCATGGGTGACTGGTGCCTCCTGGGTCTGGGGGGGGCACCAGATTGCTGACCGGGGGGGGGGTGTCCCCCGGCAACTGACCACCGAGACAGCGATGAAACTGAAAGTGCTGCTGGAAGTGCACCCACTACATGTCCCAATGTACAGTAGTTTAGTTCTGGGTTTAGTACACCAACAATACTGCCTAGACATCAATGGGCTCAGGAACCAAAAACTGATTCTTGAAAAGATTAAAAAAAAAATGCATCCTTCTATGAGTTCCCATCAATATTAGAGAGAGTAGGCCCTAGCCTGGCATTTTAGAGAACTGCAGCTGCATTTTCCTGAGGAGGAACTTCTCACTCTCTTTAATGTTTTTAAGAAGGGTGCTTCTGACATCATGTACTTCATTATCTTCTCTCAAGGTGATGTGTTGTAATGACAGTAGGGAAATCTAGAAGAACAAATATAGCACACTTGTGTGTGGCAGGGATGATGTCGTCAGAAAACAAAGAACTGATTTCTGCCACATTTTAAAAACACATGGTTACTTGTACACTAAATTCCTCCCCATCTTTCACAGGAGGCCGGTCCTTACCCTAACCAGGCTGGCTTTCTGTGGTGCCACCATCCACAATTCTGAAGGCAACAGAAAGTCCTCTTAGCTAGACAGAGCATGACATGTTTAAATCAAGCCAAAAAATAAAAACCATAGGCAACATATTCATTTCAGAACTGGCTAGACTTTGCCCTGAGCTACGGATACTGGAAAAAAACAGATATTCTATTTATATAGATTTAGACCTTACAGAAGTCAGACAAAGTTAAGAAGAATGACTGACTTGTATAAAAATAGGCAAACCAAAACAAAGTTCTTCCTTTGACAGGCTAATAAGCAATTTTTTGTTTTTTTGTAACCTATCACCATTTTGCATTTACAAAATAAACTGAAATCTACATCACACATCACCTCAAAAATTCTGTGAAAATGAGAAATTGTAATTCACTGGTATGGGAAAATTTATGTATTGTCATCAAATACTGCTCTAACCATGTCAGGCACTAGTTTGCAGTACTGCTTAGCTAAGCAGCTGTTCACAATAGTTTGTTATTTAACACTACTAGAAAGAAGAACAGTGATACCACAACCAACACTGGGAGATATTATATCTACTAAACACAGATATATCTACTCTTTGGACTAATTTTGATAAATATCTGCCTCAGCTATAGCTAGTAGGAAATACTAAGTGCCTATGGCTGTGATATAGTTTTTTCAACCAACCAATGTCCCTTTTCTAAGGATCCCCAAAGGTGCCAAACCTGCACTAACCGTGAGGGGTTGCTCTGGAGCATGTTGACATACAACCCAATGAGTACATGTTCATCGGCCAGCCTGTCTGCAACATCGAGGCTGTACTGTAACCTGAAACAGGGTTGGGGAGAAAAGGGTGTGGTCCGGACAGACAGAGAGAAATAAACAGAGAAAGCAGGAGCAAGTAAGACCATGAAATGGGAATTTATGAATGAATAATAAGTGTTTTTAGAATTTTTTTTCAAAATGAGCGCTGATCATATTTTTATATTCTAATTGGTTGAAATGGTAGAATTCAACTCAAGTAAGGAGCCAGTTCTGCAAGAAGGGGAGACAGTATTAGAAAGGGCAGAGCACCTTCATCTTCTATTGAAGTTAATGAGAACTAAAGGCTCTTCACCACCGTGCAAAACCAAACAGAAGTGCTGATCAATAAAGAAACTTATTCTAATATAATACAGACTAAGACGTTATCTAACTTGATTGGGCATATATACACATGCGATTAACATTGAAATCACAAGTTAATATGTTTGGAAGTATCTGAGTGAGTCCTCAAGTATCTAGATACACACACACGCGCGCGCGCACACACACACACACGTGCGCACACACGCGCACACGCCCATACTTAGTTTAGCAAGTTAGTTTAGTTATTGTATTTTTTTGAGAAAAAAAGGGTCTGCAGACAATCAAGAGCAGAGGAAAGAACGCAGATTTTTTTAAAATTGTGTTAGCAGAAACTACCAACATAATCTCTCTGTAACTTACCCTTTGCCTTTCAAGAAAGCTGGAGCAGCCCTAGCCAGAAGTTTGTTCTGCTCTACTTCATTATTCTTGTAAGGAGAGCTAGTTAATAAGACAGGAAAGCTAAGAAAAGGGTAAACAGTGACAACTTCCATTTATTAAAGAACAGAGTTTGGTGGAATTCATTCTAAAGCTCTGGGGTGAACCAAAAACTTACGTACTCCTTAAAAGTTTTGAAAAAAGAATGCATAGGAAAGCCAAATTTGAGATATGGAACTTCAAATTCAAGGAATTTTGCTTGACCAGAAGATTCTTATGGTTCCTCTCTCTCTAAATGATAGCAACTTAGCTAGGGAGGAACCAAGTGAAACAAGTTGCTACTGAAAATGGCTGTTGGAGGTTTGTGTACTTTCACAGGAAGGTTTAGGTACCTAATGCTGACAGTTTGGCATGCTAAGCATTTTTTCTCAAGCTAGGAAAACTTTTCTAACTATAGCCGGCGTACTTCTGGGATGAGGGCCAACTCAAGTAACATGGGGTTTTTTTGGTTTTTGTTTTTGCAAGCGTGACCATTTCAATGACTCAAGGGACTTAAATCTGTTCCTCTATGGAGTAGCTCCAATTTTTTAAAATGTTATGTTATTTTTCTGCCATCAATAAAAGCATGATTGTTCTTCACTATATTCTATTCTGTCAGTTGCTCTTTCTTTTTTTAGATTTAACTATTCATAGTATCACATTAATATTGCTTTTCCTGATGCTGAAATACCCAATGGGGTGGTTGGGAATAAAATATTAGCTAAAAGCAAAGATAGTTAAATTTTGGTTTCTCTCGGGTACTATGGTTGGTTTTTTTTATAAAAGGTTATTTCATTTGCCTTTTATTTTTCCTTATTCCTTGTCTTTAATTATTCACCAAATTGGCTTTGTGGCTACTGACATGTCATTATCTAACAGAAGTGTAGGTGCACAAGAAGGAGCACTGACTGGATTCCTCAAAGTTGTACACAATTGTACTGCACCTGAGCAGACAGATTCTTATAAACTAGAGACCAAAAATATGAACTCTAGGACACTTAATCACTCCCTGAGATTGGGCACATACCACTGTACTTAGCAGCTGCCAGTAAGATGTTTAGGTTTTATTTACTGTTATTTGGGGGGTATTTGGTTAAACACATTGCACTGAAGGAAGGAGCTGCCTTAAGAACCATCATTTCATTGTTTTATTAGTCTGAAAGGCACTGAGATCAGGCCATTAGTGCATAGCAGGGAAAATGTTTGCTATTAACCTTAGCTTTCATACAGTTCCTATCATTGTGTTATTTATAAGATAGTACTAGACTTTTCACATGTATAGATAAATGTGTTGCATAAACTGGAAGGCTACAATTTTCATCACATTTTCTTGCTAGGTATGAAAAGAAAGATGCATTAAAAGGGTACACAGGGAAGCACGCTACACTAACTTAAAAGGAATAACATTCAATTGTTAAGGACAGCTAAACTCTCAGCTTGACCCAACAGTTCCTTCATCAGTCAGACTGGCAAATATGTAAATGTTTGCTTTAGCACTGCCCTTCATCCAAAGCTTTTTTCTACTATGTGACTTAGGTAACTAAGGTTCTAGTTTTGGCTCTCATTAAGTCAGTAGCAAAGTTCCCATTGACTTGTGTGAGGACAGAATTGCCTGCTAAAAGTAATTACTATGCATTGAGTCAGTTGTAAGAGCAGCATTATCGAAGAACTGCTCTTGGTCATTGCTATTTGCCAATGACTACGCAACAAGCAAGTGCTAATACTAATAGTTCAGAGTGTATCTATCCAGTACAAAGTAACTGGGTACAACAGGAGAGAACAACAACAACAAAAAATTCTCTACCAATGTCCTGTCATCTTTTAAATATTGTACTGGAATGTGAAGTGATTGATATTGCCAGAGAAGTCCCTGGTCCTCCTTTTTTAATCAATTTGGTGAGAATAAGTTTATACAAAGCAAGCCAAAAGGTTGCAAAAGTTGCCATGTTCTACTGGCAAACTTGCCCTGGGTAATGCTTTGAAATGAGTTCCTGGTTTGACTTCTCTTCAAAAGACAATGCTGACATAAAAGGGCACTTCTTAAAATCAAGTTAGTTAACATGATTTTAAATAACTTCTGAAGATGTTCTTCATCTCTAAGAGACTCTCAGCCCAGGGTGACTTTAAGCTGCCTGTAGGCTTTTTTGATTCTTGGCCTCTGGTATAACTTAGAAAGTTTGTAACGTGGGGAGGTGGGAGATATGTCTAACTTGTAGCAGTCCGTCCCTGGTTAACCATCTACCATAGTGGTGACCAAAATCTCTTCAGCACTACAAACGGCATCCCTATTCCCAACATGCCTCTATATCAGGGGTAGCAGGAGGAGTCCTGGATGACCCTCATGTTTAGTTCATCCTCCACATGAGATAATGAGGTCTAAAAGGGCACTACATCTATTCCAAAGACTTCTTAGGACCAAAATGTCAGCTCCAGCCCCCAGCTGTGAATGCTCACTGCTGGGTACACAACAGTTCATTTTACGAAGTGAGCATACATCTATTTGTAGACAAGGTTCTTTGGGTAAATGTGAAATCTTTTATTAGACCAACTAAATAGTTGGAAAAAATGTTCTTTGTAAGCTTTCAGGCACAAACACCCTTCTTCAAACTGTTTTGTGCCTGAAAGCTTGCAAAGAACAATTTTCCCAACTATTTAGTTAGACTAATAAAATATATCACATTTACCCAAAGAACCCTGTCTGCCTATGTCCTTAGACCAACACAGCTACAACCAACACAACACCCCCATACATTTATTTGGCATCTACAAAAGTGCTTTTGTGTATGGAAGCTAGGATCCATTTTCTCAGCTACATTATTCATGAGCCAGGTATATGATTTATAAACACAAACTGAGAGTCCCCTACTTTTGCAAATACAAAACTGGGAGACAGAGACCAACTTGAGGCTGTGGATGAATTTCAAGGAATATAAAAGTACAAAACTCTTTAATGGAACATATGATTCTAAATATTAGGCATTCTGAAAGTTCAGCCCTCTAAACATAATTGTTTGTACTTTTGAACATTATGGCACTATAAGTTACTGTAATTCCCATGAAGATCAGTGAAGAAACTCCACCAGTGAATGCTCCAGCCAATGACATATTTATACTTCCATTTAAATTTTAAAAGTAATTAAACATTTTTTTGAGTAAGAAACAATCTGTCACCTACACTGAATGGTGGTTACAGGTTGAAGCAGAAAAGAGGCAAACTAAGTGGGTAATAAATGTCAAGAACCGGGATGAAAAATGGAAGTCATTCAGTTATTAACTATTGTATTTACAATAAATTATCCCTCCCACACATATGCACTCCTGAGAATGACAGCATGCTGCAAATTGTTAAGTATATCCAAAAACACTACAAAACCAATTTTACTAAAAGAGGGAAATTATAGAAATCATAGAAATATAGGGCTGGAAGAGACCTCAGAAGGCTGTCTACTCCATTCCCTGCTCTGAGACAGGATCAAGTATACCTTGATCATCCCTTCTTTTTTTTCCACACTGTTCTTAAAAACCTCCAAAGATGTGGATTCAAAACTTTCTTATGAAGCTTGCTCCAGTGCCTAACTAGCCCTTTGATTAGCAAGGTTTTCTTAATATCCAACCTAAGCCTGCTTTCCCACAAATTAAGTTAATTTTTCTTGCCCTAGCCTCTGTGTACAAGAAGAATAAATGATCACTGTCTTTTTCATACCAATCATTTACATACTGGTTGCCCATTACCATATGCTTCCTAACTCTTCTCTTTTTTAGAAGAAATAAATCAGTTCTTTTACTTTTTCCTCAAAGGCCATGTATTTAAAAATGTTTTATTTCTGTCATAGTCCTCTACACTCTTTTCCAATTTGTTTCTACATCTTTCTTAAAGTGTGGTGCCCAAAACCAGACATAGTAGGCCTGTGTCAAGTGGCTAGTATTCGCTTTGGATTTGGATCCAGCCAATTCAGGGGACAGTGATTTGATTCGGTGATTCGAATCACTGTCCCAAATCAATTCAGCTGAATCTGACTAGGGGATTCAGCTGCTGAGGAATCTCCAAATCACAGTGGCCCATCCCCTGCCCTTAGCAATGGCTGCCCTGCCTGCCTCAGCTCCCGGCACTTTGAAAAAAAAAAGCCCCCACTCACCGACTGCTGCTGGGTGGGGGGGCGATTCCCACTGCCCCCCACTGTCCCACACTGCATGGGGGCTTTGCCATGAGTCCCCCGAGCCCCACCCACTCTCCCAGCCCCCTCATGGCAGCCCTGCCCACACCAGCTCCCAGCCCTTTAAGAAAAAAAAAAAACATAAAACCCCCAGACTCACCAGCTGCTGCCCAGTGGGGGGCAAGCCCTGCTGCCCCCTGCTGTGTGGGGGGCTCTGCATGAGCCCCCAAAAGCCCCGAGGCAGGAGATGGTGAGTTTGGGGGGGGGTTGGGTTTTTTTTTCCATAAAGGGCTGGAAGCTGGGGCAGATGGGGCAGCCATGGGGGGAGCTGGGAGAGTGGGGTGGGGATGTCAGGGGGCTCATGGCAGAGCCCCCCATGCAGTGGAGGGCAGTGAGGGGCAGCAGGGATTGCCCCCCCCCCAGGCAGCAGTTGGTGAGTGGAGGCTTTTTTTTAAAGCACCGGGAGCTGGGGCCGGGCGGGGCAGCCATGGGGAGG